TTTTTGCAGAAAAATCCTTACGTGTTTGATTGAATTGTATTCTTTCTGTGCTTTTTTTTTTCTTCAAATATCCTTTAATGTAATCTACCAATTACAAATCACATTTTTCATGATATTATTTTTATATAACAAGGATACTTCTAATTATGCAATGGACTCTTTAGTCATGGAGTCAGTCAATAAAAAGTATTTGTTAATCAATCATGTCAAATGGTTCTGAGATGTCAAGCTAGAGGAGGAAAGAATGCTGACCAGTGACTTAGAGATTATCCCTAGCAGTGATTAACTGCACAGTTGCATGAACTAAGTGAGAGGATCAGTGGGCTTAAGCAGGAACTAAGGATGTTTGCTTAGAAATAGACAGACTGAAAAAACATTGAAGAAAAAATAAGTGAAGCTTGGATAAAAATTTTATTTTTCTTATTTTTAATTGATCAGATAACTGTTCAAAATAAAATGCAATAACATGTTAAAAAAGGAATAGATAGATTAATTTTAAGTTAGTAATTGTTTGTTTTTGTCATTATTGGGTAAAATTATCCAAAACCATAAAATAAGACCAAGGAAATGACTGTATATTTTTATTATCATGATAAAGAATTACTTAAGCAGAAGAGGACAGATAAGTGTTATTTACTTCTCTAGGAGAAAACCACTGACTCACTCTGCTATTTAATATACTTAAAGGTTCAGACTGAATTTACAGGTTAGCTTTTAGATTTGTGTCCAGTGGAGATGCAGCTGATTTCTGCTCAGGGGAAAAATAACCCTGAGAGATGTGTTATTGGCCTGTGGTACATTGCCTGCTGTATATCTAGTATAGCCATTTTATTTGATTTTTCATTTAAAAATTGTGTATACAAGTCCTGGTCCCTCAGACGCACTTTTTAAAATATAGCAACTTTATCTAGATATAGTTAACATTCCATACATTTGCTCATGTAGATGAACTTCACAAATCAGTGATATTGAGTATATTTGCAGAGTTGCAACTATCACTACAATCAATTTGAGAACAAAAGAAGCCAGGCCTATTGGCAGTTATTATATACTCCCTCTCAGACCTCCAGCCCCAGAAAACCACTAATCTGTTTTGTCTCTATAGTTTTGCCTATTGTAAACATTTCATATTAACGGAATCATAATATGTGCTCTGTTGTGAATGCCTTCTTTCATTTAGCATAATCTTTTTAAGATTCATTCGTTTTGTAGCATATCATTTCTTCAGTCCTTTTTATTTCTAAAAAATATCCATCAGTTGATGGGAAATAGAGTTATTTCTACATCTTAGCTATTACGAACAATGGACATTAGTGTATGAGGTTTTGCATGGACGTATGTTTTAAATTCTCTTGGCTGTGCACTGAAGAATGGAATTGCTGGGTCATATTGTAAAGATAAACTCTATTATTAACCTTTTGAGGAATTGCCCAACTGTTTTTCAAAGCAACTACGTCATTTTCCATTCCTGTCAGCAATGTATGAGTGTTTCAATTTTTCCATATCATATCCAAAGCACTTTATAATTTGTGTGTTTGATGGTAGCCATTCAAGTAGGGGGAAAGTGATTCTCATTATGGTTTAGACTTTCATTTCTTTGATGACTAATGACCACGAGCATATTTCTTTGGTTATTTGGGTAGCGTATTGGAAGAAATGTTTATTCTAACTTTTTACCCATTTTTAAATTGGATTATTTGTCTTATTATTACTGAGTTGCAAGTTTTCTTTTATATTCTAAATAGAAACCCATTATCACCTGTATGATTTGCAAATATTTTCACTCAGTCTGCGGATTGTCTTTTCACCTTCTTCATGGTGTTTTTGGGAGCACAAAAGTTTTTTTAATTTTTGAAATCTAGTTTATCTATTTTTCTTTCTTTGCTGTGCTTTTGGTGTCATATCTAAGAAACCATTAACTAATCCAATGTCATGAAGATTCACTCCTACACTGTCCCCCTAGACTTTCATTGATTTATCTTACCTTTAGATCTATTGTCTACTTTGAGTTCGTTTTTGCATATTGTGTGAGGTGGAGTCCAAATTCATTCTTTTGCATGTTGAGTATCCAGTTATATCCATATCATTTATTGAAGTGACTATAATTTCCCTTTCAACTACTTTGGAACCTTTCTCAAAGACCATTTTGAATATAAATCTATTTGATCTCCTAATTTTATCACATCGATCTATATGTTTAACATCATGTCAGTACCACACTATCTTGGTTACTATAGCTTTGTAGTAAGTTTTGAAATCAGGATGTGTGAATTTTCTAACTTTGTTCTTATTTTGCATTGTTGTTTTGACTGTTCTGTATTCCTTATATTTTCATATGAATTTTAGGACCAGCTTATCAAGTTTTGCAATGTAGTTAGGGATCTCATTGAAGCTTTAGATCAAGTTGTGGTGTATCACCACCCTAGTAAAAAGTCTTTTGGTTCACAATCATGGGATGTCTTTCTACTTGTTTGGCTCTCCTTTTGTGTCTTTCAACAATGTTTTATACTTTTCAGAGAATAAGTTTCAAACTTCAAACTTTTTTTGTTAAATATTGTTTAAAGTGTTTTATTTCTTTTGATGCTATTGTAAATTGAATTTTTATATTTTATTATTTATTTACTTATTGCTAGTGTTGAAATACAATTATATTTTATATTTTAATCTTGTATCTTGCAATCATGTTGTGCTCATTTATTAGTTCTATAATATTTAAGTGGATTCCTTAGGATTTTCCTAATATAAAATCATTTTATCTGCAAATATGTATACTTTTTCTTCTTCCTTTTCAATATGAATACCTTTATCCTTAAGTTGTTATTTAAACATTTTGTAGAATTCATCAGTTAACCCATGTCATCCTCAGACACTCTTGACTCAGCATTTATTTCTTAATGATTTCTCATTTAGTAATGAGTTTAATAAAATCTTTGATGTATGTTCAGTTTATGTGTAAGAGGTTTCTGCATTGAATTTAAAAAATTATTGAGTTGCAAGTTTCCTTTTATATTCTAAATAAAAACCAATTATCTAGAAAATTATTAGAAAATTATACTTGGACATTATAATTCCTTATTGTTAACCCCCATTGGTCACACTAACAAAGACTAACTCAAAGACATTTGTATTTCTGACCAAATTTGGGGAAAGAAAGGGAACCTCATTTCTTGGCTTAAGAGAAAAAGACTTTTACCCTATAATAACTTTTCACTACACTAATGGAAAGACCACCACTAAAGTTCCACTAAAGGAACTATGCAATAAAAACTTATTAAATATAAAGCATAATAAATCTAATGGGCTAGTTTTGTGTCTTGTGGTTTATATTGAAAAATGCTCGTGTGAGTGTGTGTGTGTGTGTGTGTGTGTGTGTGTGTGTGTGTGTATACACATGTGTGTGTTTACATCAAGATATGGGCATTTGCTGAATAAGAGCATTATAATAGATTTTGCAGTCTACCGAGTTGTGGACAGTATATTTTGGTATGAATCCTGGCCCTGCCACTTATCTGCTGTGTGATCACTGGCTAATTATGTGCACCTTTTATCTCAATTGTATTACTTTTGAATTGAATTTCATACTGCATTCATACTATGAATCCAGAAAATATATGTAAAGAACCATTTTTGAGCATCAGATACCACTGTTCATTGCCAAGGGATACACTGAACTGATGCTGGTAAACCACAGTGAATACTGAGAAAGTCATACATTAAGCTTTATTTTAAGATATTTTATTCACTTCTGGAATGTCATTTTGATTATTTTTAAACAGATTCCAATAGTCTACCAATATTTTTGTTTCATTTATTTTGTTTATCTTCTCTTTTCCTGAATGTTTATCAAGATTTTTTTTGAAGTCTTTTTCTGCTATCTCCAATTTCTGGATCACTCATAGATTTGTTTCTTTTATTTGTTGTTTTCTTTCGATACTTGGATGTTTAGTTTAATCACTTCTTGTATTTCAAAATTTTTTCTTTAGTGTTGGACATCTATATAATGAGAGATGCTTGGTAATAAGATTAAATAAAGGTCTGTTGAAGTGCTGGGGATATATTGAGAGTCAATAAGTAGTAAATGTCATTGCTTTTTAAAAAATATTATCATTATTCTAAAGTCAACAAGAACCTGTGCTTTTGTTTGAGGTTCTTCATGGAAGCAATGTGTATGTTTTAAAAACCTTCAAAATTATCTTCAATAAAAGTCAGAGGAAAAACAAACACATTGTTTCCATATAGTTAAGCAATTCCTATTAAGTTTATTCTTAAAATAGATTTAGAACTCTTTTACATTTAAGAAACATTATGATGGTAGTACAGAGAATTCTCATCTGTACCTGCACATGAGTCCCCTATTATTAACATCTCACATTCATATGCCACTTTTATTACAATTAATGAAACAATATTGATATGTTGTTGACTAAGTGTCTAGTTTATTCAGATTTCTTTATCTTTATGAGATGAATCCTCTTATTATCCATTCTTTATTTGATGCATAATGATATGGTTGTCCAATTTATGAGCAAATTAGTTTCCAAAAATTGTTGACAAGATGAGAGCTCTGTCTGCTTTTAATTTAAGGTAATGGAGGATACCCTGAATTTAACCTTTATTGTTATTGTTTTAAGTTACATTTTAGGCTTGTTTAAACAATACTACCTTAACTTTTCAGTTGTTAAAAATGAATATTTATGGTAAGACATAGTTAGACACCTTGTGAATGAAAATTATTTACAGAACATTTATATTTTAAGTTTCAATTTTCAAAAATTGATTATTCATTTATCAATAAACTATGTATCGAGTATTCCTATGTTTCAAACACTTTGATCATTTTTTGTTTATGATTCCTAATGGTAAATAGTATTAAAACCTATGTATCTTGCATACATCTTGATCGTCAATCTAGTTACTTAATAGAATAAATAATATTTCACCATTTGGATGTTTAGGAATCATTGTTGCATAATAAATTTTATTTTATTTTATTCTTGCAGAACTATTATGGAGCTGCTAAGATGATTTTTTCTGACAACCCACTTGGTCTGACTTGTGGAATGGTATGTCCAACCTCTGATCTCTGCGTAGGTGGATGCAATTTATGTGCCACTGAAGAGGGACCAATTAATATTGGTGGATTGCAGCAGTTTGCTACTGAGGTATGTAAAGTGTACACATGGCCCCTCCAGCAAGCACAAATATCTTAAAATAAGATTAGTCAATGGTGCTCTGCTGATACAAGACAAGTTTAATATGACACACAGCTAAGTATAAGTGATTTGTGCAACAAGCAGTACTTTTATTCAACAGCTTGACTACAAAAATGAAAGTTTACAAAACCATATGTCAAATTAGTTGCAATCCCAGCAGGTTATTAAAATACGTTGACTGAAAGTACATAAATTAAATGATCTGAAAATAGAACTTATTCATTAACTTTATACTAAAGTGTGGCAAGATGACCCTCTTCTGAAAAAACTAGCTTTCTCAACTGATTCTTTTTCCTGAAACATTCTCTAATCTTTATAGGTTGAAAAACAGCATAGTTTGTAATATTTGTTGGGTAATAAAGGTTAGAGAATTTTCAAAACCCTGAAACTGAATAATATTCTTCAACAATGTTAAGAAAAACATTAATTTATAGGTGAAGTAGGTATGTTATTTAGATAAAAATGTATAATGAAAGTATTCTTTTTTCACTATCCCATGGGCTTTGGTCCTGGTTTTCTCTTTTATGAATCCTTTGTAAATGACTGATTCTCTGGAAAACTCTTGTGCTCTCTGGGGTCTCCTATTTGTAGACAACACACGGGACAATTCCCACATATCATTTAAATGATTAGCTTATATGGAGGTTACAGTAAGATTGTCTAATCTGTGGAGACTGGTTGGCTAGAAGGCTGAATTAAATGCCTGTCAACACTAGATTTTTACTTAATGACTTACCTATCTGGTTTTGTCAACTTAAACACAATATATTCTTTCCTTTTAGGACCCTTCCCATAATATTCCTCAAGCTTAAGTCTCACTTTGCTTTTAGTAATAAATCAGGGTTATTCCCTTCCTGCTTTCTGACAGGTTAATTCTAAAGAAGGGCTCCTGGGAATAAGAAAATAGAAACAATTTGCAGTTGTGAGTTGTTGCAATAAATTCTTGGATTTAATTTCTTTTCTTCCCAAATTCAAAATTGTGTTAGGCTTACCCGACCAGTTCAAGGTATGATCTTTACAACCTGTGAAAATCCTTAGTTGATGGAGAAGATTCACATGAATTCCTCTCCATCTTTCTTTGGGGGACCCGTTGTCTCTTCTTTAAACCAGAGCAAGCTTGCCCAAGATGCAGAATAAAAGGGCACACACTGTGTATACCAAGTAACACAACAACATTTTGAAACAAAATGAGTTAAAATAATATTGTTATCTTGTTAGTGATCTCTCCCCCTCCCTCTGTTCCTCCCTCCTTCCCTCCTCCTCCCCCTCTCTCTCAGTGTGTGTGTGTGTGTGTGTGTGTGTGTGTTGTGTGTGTGTGTGTGTGTGTGTGAGAGAGAGAGCGTGAGAGAGAGGGAGAGAGAGAGAGGGGGAGGAAGAGACACTGTCCCTCTGGGAATTCTCACTTGGTTTAATTCCACTCTCTGGGAACACTATCCCTCTGGGAACTCTCACTTGGTTCTACCACCCATCCCCAAAGCTTGCTAAAATCTGAGCATGGCCACACTTAGAATTTTTCATAAGTATCGTATAATGAAGAGTTGTACATAAAGATTGTGATTAATGCATTTTAAGTGAATCCAGGAATTTAGAATAGGAATGATTTAGAAGAGGAATGAGCCTTTCTACTCAACCAATTATAATTTGTATAAGTGTGATTTCAATATCAAATCATGAATAAAAATATCCCTGTGGGAGCTACCTAGAAAAACTTTTTTATCCTTTTTTTTTTTTTTTTTTTAGGTTGGCCAGTTAGAGGGAGTGGTTTTAGAATGCCCTGTATTCTTTAGGTCTACTTAAATTTACCCAAATCTCAAAGTTTTTATGAATATAAGCAAAACATAAGTGACATGTTAAGTAAATCAGTGAAAAAAAGTGCAAAGTGCAAAATATGTTTTTTCAAACTACTAAACTATTGACATGAGTATTTAAGTCGAAGTGCAATATGATGCAAATAATTTATGTTTTGATTGTTTGATAAAACAGTGATCGATTTTTGACCTTTAAAGAACTAAAAATCTATTTTTCAACCAAATTAAGCAAAGGTTAGTAAAGCAGATTAAAATAGTGTGATATTTTTCAAAACTGTTTTTCCTGTAACTTGTAAGTGATTTTAAAAATATCAACTCAGTTGTCTGCCATTATTGGCTATGTACATCCTCTTTTTCCTCCATGTGAACAAATGCATGTGATTTGGAGGGGTTGTATTGGAGAAAGAATAAATCACACAGAGGATAGCCTGCTGCTGGATCAGAGACCCACTGCTTTCTTTCTTTTTGTCCTGTGTTGTCATTACTATTCAACCCTTTGCTGTTTTCACATTTGTGGTGTGAACACTATGACCTTGTTTAGGACACTTTTGTGTGTCCATTGAAGTAACCAGGCTATGGGGTGACTGTCACTCTTTCAAGGAGACAATTGTTCCTAGAAATAATATTGTAATCCTATAATAATATTGTTTAAATAAAATCAATTGAAAATAATAGTTTGGTATATGTTTTATCAATCTCATGAGAGTTTTTCTCTGTACAAATATAACTCTTGAAAATTTTATTCTGAAAAACATTTGAGTATTTTTTTGAATTTTTAAGAAATCATATAACATAACAAATAAAGGTTTATGGCTTTACCAAAAAACAAATAATATCTTCATTTTATTTAATAGACCACGTGGCTCTCATTTCCTCTCCAATTTAATTAATGAATTGTTGGAAAAGGAGAAATAAATGGAAATGCATCTTCCTACTCCTTGCCTAAAGTTTGAAAAAATAATCTTAAATAGAAACTTAACTGCATGCCAAATCAGTTCCCTTCTACCAACATTAAAGTGTTATTTTAATAGAGCAAATCTTCCATATATTCATCTTGGATATGGAGGGCTCAAAGCCTTAAAACTTTGCATTCTCCAAGTATATTTGAAGATAATATGAAAATATGTATTCTAGTAAACAATAGAGCAGGTCCTCTTTCAAATAATGTATTTCTGCAATACATCCCATCTATCAGACTGAAAAGTGGAGACAATAAAAAACAGTAAGTGTAGGCCCCAAATTAAAACCAGTCATCAAAAAGTTGAGTGTTTGTGTAAAAACTGAAATATGAAGTTGGGTATACGCTAGCTGTGTATTGGGTTGATTGGTTTGTAAGTAAGATGATCAAATGACTGAGATAGGTTGGAAAGTGATATTATTAATAATAATATCATTATTATTAGATGTGGCATTATTCATAATTAGTCTGGTTCTGCAGGCACCAACCAAGGCAATCCTAAGGCAAACTGGTTTGTGTGTACACTCGGTGTGAAGAGTCCTACTAAGTAAGTTTCAATTATACATACATGCTTTGATTGAACACTGATTAGAACTGTGTTGCTGTAGCCTGCTTTGAATCTGCAGATCCTGAGAAACATTGTAGTTTCTCAGGAAATAATACAGGCCAACAATTGAAAGGTTGTAGTAAACTTAAGAAGACATCCATTTCCATTGGTGTCCTTTTGAACTGAAGGAAACTAAGAATCAGAGTGATTAAAAATCACAGCTAACATTAAATAAACTCCTAGAGTCCTGTACAATGTTAAGTACTTTATTTAGAGCTTGATTAATCTGCAAAATAACCCCCCAAGTGAATACTATTATCTTCATTCCTTCTGTTCAAAATGGGGGAAACGCTACCTAGCTTACAGGCCTAAAGAGTTGTTTATCAACATTTTAAAGTGAGACATTACAAAAGTGCCATATGAAGTGAATGCTACATAGTAAGTGTATTAAAACTCTACACTTTCCCCATTTGATACTTTCCTTGGCACTAAGATCTGATCACCTCTAAAACCAAGTGACAACAATTAATGAAGATGGGATTATCAGTCCAAGGACGCCAGTGGAAATGCATGTCTTATTAAGTTTGCTACAACGTTTCAATTGTTGGCTTTTATTATTTCCTGAGAAACTACAGTGTTTCTCAGGACCTGCAGATACAAAGCAGGCTACAACAATACAGTTCTAATCGTTGTTCAATCAATGTTAGTTGATGTAGAAGACCGAGGCGGAGGGATCGCCGGAGCCCAGCAGGTTGACGCTGAGCATGCCGCTGCAGTCCAGCCTGGGTGACAGAGTGAGACTCCAACTCAAAAACAAAACAAAACAAAACAAAAAACCCAAAAAACAAAAGAAGCTGTTATCTTCATTTTAAATATGAGTAACAGGAGGCTCTATGATATTAATTAACTTCTACTGCCTCACGTTGTCAGAGGCAAGTCTAGAACAGGAGCTAGTGGTCCCTGCGTTATTTTGCAAACCCTCACCTGCCCCAAAGAGGGTTACTAGTCAGTGGCACAGGCTCAGGAAAAAAACAGCTTTTTGACTGCACATTCACAGCACTGTCTCTCATACCGAGTTGTCCAGCATGTGTACCTTGCCACCATACCTCTCAGCTTCTTGATTTTCTGTAAGATAAGAAGCAACTACATCAAAATAGATTGTGTAAAGCCAACATTTATGGCTTAGTCGTTTTCTTACTAGTGCATGTTACCAAATAATTTTTATTTTTTCCTTTCTTCTTTTGACAGTGGAGTGCTATTCTGTAGTCAGGAATTAATCAAGGTTTTGTAGGGCTCAAGATAACACTTTTGGTTCTTTCTATTAAAAATTATATAAAAAGAGCACCACAAAATTTAAATTCATGACCTAAAAAGGAGGCCAGTATAACCAGGATCTTGAAGTTTCAGCATTTGCCAGCAGTTTTCATTTAATTTGAAAAGCCTAAGTTTGATTTTGTGATAATTTGTACACAAGTAAAGTTGGGAATAAGCATAGGATGTTTGTAATACAGTTTGGCAAACTGGTCATTAAAATCTATCAGTTCATGTTCCTGATCTAAAACTAAGATAAATTGTCATGATAGTGAAAAATAACCAGTATTATGGCTAATATATTTTTCAGGTCATTTATTAATCA